GAATAACCTCGTTCCCAAGCACTACAACTTACCTATATTATCCTCTACTATTTCATTAGTGCCACGCGGTCCACATACTCTCATGAGTACTAATATAGATATTACACCATCAACAGAAAAAAAATAGAAATTGTCATTTTTAATTTAAAAAAATAGAAAATTCACATGGAAAAGAACTTGCAATATACTTTACACTAATACAAGTAATAATTTGAGAGTAATTTTTGCGATATTTTTACAAACTCAGACACGATGCGCCCGCGCAAATCTCTCAGCGGTTTTTCGTCAAAAAAACTCAACGACAAAAATACTTCTTGAAGTTTTTTTTTCAAATATTGGAAATTTATATTAAATAGAATTTGCGCAATATTTAAAATCATACGAAGTCATAATTTTTGCGATTTTTAGAATATCTTTGCAATTTTTTTTGATAACCCTGCGCGCAAAGCATGATAGTTGTTTTTTGGGTCAGCGGTTTATATGTTTAAAATATTTTTTGGTACGAGAGGAACAAAAGTTTTTACTCTCTTTTTGATTAAAAAAACTTTTGATTTCCTTTTCTACCAAATTAGCATGTCCGATTCCGAGTACAGCAGTGAAGACGACGAAGATTATGTACCAGGTAACTAATAACACCATGCTTTCGCTATTGAAGCAAGCGGATGAATGCATAATGGAAAGCTTTCCTCTTGTTGTCAAATTTTTACAAAATTACATGACTTCGTACAAGCTTTTGTTCATTTTTCGTCATTCTTTCTGATAGATGCAGAAAGTGGTAGTGAAGACGAAGATTTCGAAGGGCAAGGAGAAGCAACTGCACCCAAAGGCAAGGCATCAAAGGAAGAACAAGTTCAAAAGAGGTATGATTTCTCTCAAAGGGAAAAGTTATTCCCTAATTTTTTGAATCTGTACATTTATATAATATATTTTTTCATAACGTTTTTGAATTACAGAAAGAGAAAGGGTGGAATAAAGTTGGAAGATGATGAAGTAGATGATGAGGAAGATGAGAATGAGGAAGATCGAAGTGAAGATGAACTTCAAGTTGAAAATGAGGAAAAATTAAAACAAAAACAAGAAGAAGAAGAAGAAGCCAAAAAGGCTCGGATGGAAGATCTGTGGGCTTCATTCAAAGAGGAAACGACTAATGTCAGAGCAAAACCTTCAAACACACCGACTAGTACCAAGGTACTTCCATTATACATAAAGAGAAATAGAAAACACGTGTGCTTGGTACATGTATGTGCATTTATGATAAGCACACATGGATTGGCAATACACTAATATAGTATTAGAAGAAGCATGATCCGAAGCAGAGTGCTTATCTTCTCAAAACTTCTCAATCTTCTCAAATTTTACAATGACACACAGCACAGCCAGTAAGTTTGAAATTTCTTTTATAATATGAGAACGTGAATAGATAAGAAGGTTCTGTCTTGTTTTCTTTTCAGGCTGCTTCATCGAAATCTGTCAACACAAACCCTGTTATCACTGTAAGTGATAAACATGATACTCTGAAACTACAAATGATATGTGTTTATGGGATTTCGAAAAAACTTTAACTGGCATATACATTTCTAGGATTCAAAAAGAGAGACAAATTCCTCCATTACTCCGGGGAAGAGTCCATCAACTGCTAAGGTTACCATCACAAAAACTTATGATTTTGCTGGAGAAGCCATAACGTAAGTTGAGGATTGTTAATTTCATTTCATTAAGTAACAACGCCGTTTAGAACGATAGCATCCAATGGCAAGGCATGCGCAGTGAAGATTTCTATAATTGGCTTAAATAATTATATCCAAGCTCTCTGATTGACGGAAAAAAGTAGTCATTGTATTTTTTACAGAAAAATGCCGAAATAGTACCGAATTGTCATTCCATTTACCTATTGTTCTCGCTATCATTCTAAATGGCATCGTTAATTAATAAGAACGCTGAAAGTTTTTGCCAAGATGATGAAAGATTAAGGTATAAGAATACCTTTTTGACCTTTGAGATCACTTATGCAGAAGAAGAATTCTGTGCTGCCTTTCTGTTTATTTAGCTTTTAGAAAATATTCACTTGTATGGTAAAATAAAATATATAGATATATATATAAACAATTGTAAAAAAAAAGCAATAAAAACTAAGTATATATGCAATATCTTACTGTGAGTAACCCGTGCCTTTACTTTTATACCATCAACAAAAAAGTTATTTCAGGGTATTGATGAATTTGAAGGTCATTTTTTCTCATGAGAGCTAATATTGATATCATATATGGTAAAATAGTTCTTATACTAGAACTTTCATCTTCTGTCCAGGGTTACAAAGACAGTTGAAGCTAATTCAGCAGAAGCAAGGGAATCAGCAAAAGAAAAGCAACAACAACAGCAACCACAAAAACAACAACAACAACAATCAACAAGCTCACCTCTCAGTGTTAACTTCCGTGGGTAAGTTTTGCTTGATACAGAAGATGTGCCTAAAAGAACACAGATACTCTCAAGTTTGTAAAGTTTCTTTACTTCTACAATGATGCTCTCAAATTTATAAAGATTCTTTACTTCCACGATGGATCAGTCTTTACTTTAGGCTTGATCTTCCCACATTGCAAACCACTCATATTTCACTTGAGAATAAGATTCTTCATTTGAATTGTATCCATATTCATGTGTCTTCCCAGTACGATTGTTAAATAAAGAAACGATACTCAATGGAATGACATATAGTTTAAAATGGGGGGAAATTACTCCCAAGCTAAGATGTGAAACTTGAAGATTAATTTAGATCCCCTTACCTGGATTTCATAACTAGAACCAAGAGACCTGGTGGACTTGGAAGTTTGCTGGGACAGCTGGGAAAGAAGCCAAAAATAAGCACCTTGGTAAGTATAAATCTTATTTTCTGATAAATAAATAATTTGAAATCTGTTTACCAGAGCGGATCCAATAATGAGAAATGGAGGTCTGCAAAATTTGTCATCAGGCAAATTTCAAATCAAAAGGGCCCCACAGCCCCCTAAATCTGTCCCTGATTGATGTAAAGTTTGATGTAAACCTATAGGGTTGTGGGACATACTAGTCTTCATTAGAACCCAAGAAAGTCAAATTTCAAAGCCCATTTTACTAAAAAACTATACTTTGTTTAGGAAAAGTCAAAACTTGACTGGGAGACATTCAAGTCTGAAACTGGAATTTCTGATGAATTGAGGAATTTCAACAAGAATGGGTAAGCTTCAAATTAATGAGCAAATTTTGAGGGGAAAGTGTAGACAAATGATTGATCCTTTCTTTCTGGATCTTAGGTATCTTGAGAAGCAAGACTTCCTTCAAAGAACAGATCATAGATTATTTGAGAGAGAAAAAGAGGCCAGAAATGCTCTGAGGAAAGAACGATAGAAATGGCAGACTGGATAGAAAGCTTTGTGTGAACCTAGGGCTTGAAATGACAGCCGGCCAGTCACTAGTCATGATGACTGGCAAAATTACTTTTAGCTTAGTTATACCCAGTTTCTGGCTCAATGTTACTGGTCAAAAATGAATGGCAAGGCAAAGACTTGACCAGACAAGTTCATATTCTGGCCAGACATTTTCCATTGACTGGCTGCTATTTCAAGCCCTGGAACCAGTGAACTATCGTATGGAAAGTGGTGAATTTATTTCATGCTCTTATTGTGTTAATAGATTTTGAAATTCATTGTCAAAATTGGTTTGAAAGTTACAAGAAAATATATCATTTTCAGTGATTTCGTTTGGTGAAAAACTTGCGATAGACATGACAAGGATGACAGGGAAAAATTGAATCCACCAAAAAAATGGAAAAATATTTAAGAAGACAGTTAATAGGAATAAGATCAACTCACAAAAGAAGACTGGAAACCTAATTTATTTTTCCAGGCCAAATGGGAAACAACATGCATTTTGCCATTTTGCTTAAGCAAACTTTGAACCCTGGTTAACTAGCCCTACACTAGTACTATTAGCTATGAGAAATAATTTGATTCATCTTAAGAGAAGATCCAGTGAGCGTGTGGAGGATTGGTAACATATTGGAGCTAGCAGTGCTTGGTGATTTAGGTACTTAGGTCTTAATATGTCATATGATACGTGACGTCTCTAAGGAAGCTGAATTCTACACAGGTTGGTGCCATTCTTACCCCAAGCTATCCCATAGTGCACTTTCCTTCTGACTACCTTTAGGCCAGGTGTAACTCAAATGCTACAATCAGCACCTTAGAAACAATCAATATAATATGTTGTTCCAAACTTAACGTACAAGTACAAACAAACTTTGAACAAAATGATCTTAGTGCATGATATTTCTGGGTGATATTCTATTTGTTTATTCATTTTCTTTGTGTTATAATAAAAAATATCAGTCATCTACATACACCATTAAACTTGAGACACTTTATATGGCTTGAGTAAAGAAATACTCCTTTGTCCATCATATTACTATAAAAACTACTTGAATCATTGAGCTTGACAGACAGTGTTTGCCAGTCATTGCAAACAGTCTTATAATGAGATTGGTACACCATGAGATTTATTCAGCTGATTGAATGCATAACTGAAGATTTTTTCATTAAGCATGTTTACCAATTTTAAACCTTTTGCATACTAAAATTGATCCAATCAATGCAAAGCTAATCATGGAAAAGAAAGAAATAGAGTCGCTTTCATATGACTGCAAAATCACCTGGCGTACTATCACAACGCATAATTTTTACATCCTCTGGATCAAACAGTGCACCTAATATCTTTGCTCATTCACTAAAAATGGGCCTTACTCAAATGGCAGCCATGTTGACTGGAACAATAAATTCCTCCATGTATAGGCTTGCATTTTAGAAAATAAATTTATGTGCGATAAACAAAGGTTTTTATTCTCAAGAATAAACAGGGCTGCAGCATGAGTAAGGCCTTTGCTTAGAAAAGATACACTTATTATCATGAAACAGCATGTTCATACTATCAGTCTTTTGAAACCTGTTCAACTGCTCAAGAAAATGATTTGGTCTGAAATGGGAAAACATACAAAAGTGAAAAAGTAGTCCCTCTTCCACTAAAACATCTCTATTCCTCTCTTGAATTTTAATTCTCTGTCATTTCCATTTTAGAGAAAAATTGGCTATAGTACTTTGTATAATATTTGCAATATTATTAGCACTATTACAATGCAGCCATTATGACATTCCTTCCATCAAAGTATAAGCTTGTTTCAATTCAGCAAGTAACACCCTAAACTTCTCAGAAGTCACTGTAAATGCAACAGGTTCTCCTTCCTGATTATTCGCACTCGTCTTGTTGAATTTAACCTGAACTTCGGCCTCACGAATTTTCTCTAGTTCGCTCGAACCAAGCACATAGTCAACTCTCCATTCCAGGTTAGAAATTCCATCCAATTTCAGTGTTTTATCCAGAAAAGCTTCTTGCAACTTTGAAAGACTTTCGCCATAAAGCTTACACAGCGAGCCACTGTGCTCTTTTGGTAATCCTAGCTGTTGTAGTTCATTCAATAACGAATCTCCATCTACAGTATACCTAGCTGCACTCGAAAGGATGAAAGAAAGAGCAGCTATAGTAGCTTTGACGTCCCCCAGTTCGTACTTGGCATCTGAGGTGAGCTTCTCTACTTTGGCATAATCAATGTTTTCCCCAAGCAAATTCTTGATAACTTGAGCACATAGAAGTCTCATTTTTACAGAGGATATTCTTGAAAGAGTGCTTATCTCGGCTAGCACCCAATCAGGGCAATCGAGGTCTCCACAAAACCGAAATCTCATGTTAAATCCAGTCACTCGTACCTCCTTGTACTGAGTTAGTTCCTACCTCTAACGCTCACGTGACAAACCACACTCGCCTTCTTCAACACAGGAACCCCATACTAAAAGAATTCCCGCACTACTCCTTTCCAAGTTGAATTTGAAAATTAAGTATTTTGCGCTAATCTTTATCTACTTTAAAGGTCTATTCAGTGCAGTAACTTAGAAGAATGAACACTGTCTTCAAAATCTAACGAATTTTAGAATTATACTTTTGAGCTTTCTGTGTTTAATGACTTGGACTTAGACACAGGAATCCCAATACATAAGTTTCTCTCTTCGCATTAGAAAACTTCTCAAACATTTTTTTTTTTCAATTTTGAACTATCAAAATTCTCCAAACTTTTTATTTTTTATTCTATTAAGAGAAAATAAACTCATATTTATTTGAATTCTGGCGTTTTGTACTTTTATTCTGTTTGAACTACTTTTTTAGAAATGAAACCTTCATTCAGCTATAGGCTATTTTCTTGATGAATACAAGTGACTTTTAAAACTTTTTAAAATTTGTAAACTGTTATAAAAAATATTCGGAAATTCCACAAAAAAAATCTCCAACATACAATATTTGGGGTCCCTGTGTTATTACCCAGCATGCTATATAATCCTATGCGAATGTATGAATTAATTTATGCGTCTATCGAATTTAATCATATGCAAATTTATTATCTCCATATTTGGCAGCTGTTTCGGCGTCCCCTGTAACGGGTTTCTACTTTTGGACGCCGACCGAAATCGAACAGGTTTATCAAACCTTAATTTCTACGCTATTAAAAGGAAAAGAAACAGGGACACGATGATGGAACAAGCCCTTCCTACCGTCTTGTCTGTTCTTCTAGCGATCGGTGCAGTAATTCTCGTGGTATTAGTAGGTAAATCATTGCAATATTTTGTTACGATGAACTGATGGGTTGATTAGGTAAACAAGCTTGGCTAAAGGGTGCACGTTGTTTAGGATCCTAGCATTCATGTGGAATAATAACTCTTACTTAAAAATATCTCATGAAGTATCAGTTATTATTCTGTTACTTTTAAAGTATTTCAAAAAACTCTAGGTGTTTTTTAAAATTCGTTTTTGTTATGGAAAGAAAAGTTCTCTCGTCACACAAAGACTTGATTTTTTGTTTACACGAATCAGAAAATTTTGGCTCAAAAAAGGAGGATCTTTTAATCTATTTAAATCCAAAATGACTTAGAAAGGGTTAGACCTGCGACTCTTTGGCTGTTGACTTTTAACATCAAGGATACGAGTTTATGGAGTTATTAGAAAAGTTGCTGAAGCTAGTACAATTGGAAACTATAGAACGGAAGTATTGTACGTGGTCTAAGCACCTGTAAATTTTACTACGCTGTCCATGTGAGGTAACAATCGCGGTGTAAATATCTTGGCCAGCTGGTTAACGTGGTAGAACAAAACACACACCATACGTTTTGTTTTTTTGCTATGTACAAGACTAACCTACCTACTCACCCTAATAAGGAGCTCCTCCCCCCCCCCCCCCTCCAACCATCTTTTGTTCTTTTGTCTCCCTTAATAATTTATTTATATATATTTTATTGGATCATTTTTTTTCTGACATAGTGTATCATTAATTTTTAGGTTGGTTTGTTGTATGGAAGATGTTTCTTATTCGATTCGCATTTATCAGAGAGCTTGTTTATGGTAGCAATGGAAATAACAATAAGAAAAGCAAAAGAAAAAGCCTCCCACCGGAAACACCTCTTCGTCGATCATCAAGGATTCGTCAAAGACAAGAAGCAAACTGATGTGGAAAATATTATCTCTGTGTATAGCCTTTTCTATTATTGCATTGATACGAGACAGCTGGTTTGTCAGCGTCATGTCATAAGCACAGTTGCGAAAGATGCTCAAGCTTATGTAAAACAGTTGTCCTTGAAACAAACATTGGTGGACTGGCTCACTTGCTTATATTCCTTGCAACCCCTGCACTGAAATTTTTCAGCTTCAGATCCGTTGAACTCTATAGTTCATCTATGTACTGACACTGCAAGGCTACTTTTACTGGCACAGTTTCTATACAGATTCTCCAAATTATATCTAGCTTACTACACGAACAGCTGCTCATAAAAACACTTACTCTATCTTGCTCCATATGGACTGAACCCTGTAGCTTACACCATCTGCAGGACTCTACTAAGTTCTTCATGAAGACATTTAGTATATTGAATGAAGAATGCAAAGACACAGATAGGAATTCCCTAACGTTATTGCCAAAAAGTATAGCGTACAAAAGACATTCTGTATAAGAATATTTAACAGCTAGCTTGCAGCATGTTGCTCTGCTCTGTTTATCAATACAAATATTATATATTTGTCAGATTCTGATAGACCCAATTTGTCTTGGGACAATGTTTTCCCATTTCAGATCGCATGTCTTCCATAGAGTATCATTTCTTTGTTTCACACTTTGCACATACATGTATGCATGGCAAGACCACTGAATATCGATTAGGACATCGATTAGTATGTGATGCAAAAATATGCACCTAACATCTTTTTCCAACTAAGTTATACCCTTTTCTTCTATACATACGCAGCATTTTTACTTAGTATAGATAGTATTAATTTTATTTGTTGTATAGCGCACATCAAGCTAACAAGAGCTTGAAACAATTTCGTTTTAAAATGCAATACATCATAGCAATAGTTTTATTTTTTGAATGTAAATGCTTGCCAGTGTACAACAGTTTTACATCAAGTAATTTTTCAAATCAGATTTTCTACTCAAGAAACTGGACATTCTATGATATCATTTTTAGGAATTTAGGAGTTTTAATTTCGATCACTTTGCATAGCTTAAAATAATATCTGCTCTGACAGTACTAGTGGCAATACATGACTGTTATTGCTTTTTAAAATTTATATTTATGTATATATAGGTGATGTATAAAAATTGTAATGTATACATGTATATTTGTGATGAAATATTAAGTGGACTTGCAAAATGATGAATATATTAAGACTGAAACTAAGAGAAAACAACCAAAGATCCTGGTTTCATAGCCAGACCCAAGCTCTTGTAGTTTGTGTGACGTTGCATCAGTTACATCCACATTGTGTGAAACAAAAATAAATTAATGTATGTATTTGTACAAATTGAGTTGGAATTAAACTTATTTTTTACAACCACTCCCCATGTGGGGCTCTTCCATGAGGTTCCCTCCACATGCACTACTACTACGTTCTATATTTACAACATACAACAATCAACTCACATGTTGCTTTTTAAGGAGGGAGGAAACCGGAGATCCCAGAGAAAACCCTCGTGGCAGGGGAGAGAACAACAACAAACAAACTCAACTCACGTGTGATCCAGTCTGGGCCAGGGCTCGAATCCGGACCACAGTGGTGAGAGGCGAGCGGTGAACCACTACATCACCAATTATGCTGGAGATATCTGGGACTGTGGACAGGGAGTGGCTAGGGGTGATGGCTAGGGGTGAGGGCTAGGGGCGTTGAAGTGTGTTTAGCTTCCCAAAATCTTGTTTGAGCCCTCCCCACTCACAGTACTTTAATACAGTTCACAACAAATTAAAAATGAATACTTTTCTATTTTATTTCAGTCAATATACACTAACATTAAAATGTACAATAACCTTTTCTAAAAGTAGTTTAAAAATTCTTAATTAGTGCTGTGCTAACAAAATCTAGCAGAAAATATCTACGCACATCCTTTAAATCCATTGACAAAACATCAACACAAATGCTGAATAATTTCAGCAATGTACCAAACCCACTTGGGTGTAACGTTTGCCCATTCCAGACCATGTGTATTCCTTTTTTGAGTTGTATCTATATTCATGTGTCTTATCATGTGCAACCTTTCAACAAAGAAATGATACACTAGGGAATGACACGTGGTCTGAAATGGGAAAACAGTGGATTAGGTCTATTCATGTATCTTTGGATTCCATTTGTAACCCCTAATTTCCAAAGGGAAAAATCTAGGATAGGGATACACAGACACCCTAGTACACCAATCCACCCATTCCCCTAGTCACCGTCATTGCACTTGCAGTTTCACCCTACCCTACCCCTCCAAATTTCCAAATTGTAGGATGAAGTATACTAAGGGTAAGGTCTGTGCACAGACACCCTAGGGTACCTAACCACCCATTACCTCCTAGACACTGTTAGAAAAAATTATTATTCTAAGTTTTTTATAGCATAAATTAGTTAGCAATGCCCTAAAATGCAACAGCAGAGCAAAAGGTTTATGGGCCACAAAATTCTTTCTAACAGAGTATGCCGAGGGGAACCTAATGCTGTAGACAAAGGCCCATCACCAGTGCCCAATTTACCAATGGTGGATAGCGCTATCCAATGGATAAATCCTTATTCCGTGGATAAGTTGATGCTGTTATCCAATACATTTATCCACTGGATAATATGTATCCATTGGATAGTGCTATCCCACCTTTTAGCCTGCAGGGAGCACAAATATCATTCAAATGACACTCAGATCTCCATAATTAAGTTCCAGAAAATATACATACCCCCACAATTGAGGGAATTTGTATAAAAGACCCCCCTATCTCCAGGAACTTCAAAATTTTTTCCATACAAACTCTGTAATTTTGTTCTTTCTCTCACCCCCCTCCCCTCCAGAATTTTCCAAGTGGGTGGGGCATGAATATTTTCTGGAAACTATGCAATCACTATATTTAACTAAAGCCTGGCTTTACTAGGAATGCAAACATAATCATAGCAAAATAAACACAAGTACAAGGTCTTTCATCATTAGTTAACCCTTTATGTTTGGGCTACAAAACAGCCTTTCAACCTTAAAGTACAATTTGTGTTAGCTTTCTAATTATGGTTATATGTACTTCACTAGTTAACACAAGGCTCGCATGATTAAATTAACACCTACATTTATGTTAAGAAGTACCTATAAACCAGAACCACTTGTTCCTACAAAACGTCATAATATTTTAGAGTATCCATAAAACAACAAAATATTAAGAATTGTTGTCTACAAGAATAAATAAATAATGCAATATTAAAAAAGGATCTTTTAGTACATTGCTAAAACATGTGATCTCTTGGTTACTAAGTCAAAATTATTGATAGCTGCTCAAGCTTATAGCAGGGGGTGAGTACTGACGTGCAAGGGCTATGGAGACTATAAACTTGCCAGCAACATCTAAAAATCTAGAGTAAATTTGCATCAAGTGCCTACACAAAACAGCTGTTTTAATAATGTTGGTGAAGGTTCCTTTTGCATGTCACACTAAGCCGGAATGTAACTATTGGCGATGTAAATGCAATCAGTGAAAGGTCACAAAAATATGGAATTGTGTAGTTCCAGAAATTATCCATCCCC